GTCATAAGTGATGTTTAGACTATGAAAAACTACTAGTTAACATCCAACCATCTAGTGTTGATTCCTGTGTTTATATATACTAGACTCTCCTGTTGTTATTGAGGGTCAAGCAGGTCAGTTCTTAAAAGTTCCAGTAGTCAGAGTACTCACACATATCATTTAATTCTAGTGGTGGAGGCTTGTGCAGAACTAGCCACACATTTGGAAGAGTCAAATACAGAGAAGTGTTGCACAGTATGCCACAGGGTCCACAAACAACCATCTGTAGGTTTTGAATTCAGAGTTGTCCTTTTCTTAGACCAGTTGCCACCCAATGCTATAGAACCCAGTCTCTCCTGCTATTGTACCCATAGCTGGATGGAGAAGAGATGGATTTATATTTCCCAAGGGTATTAGCATAGAAGTGAATGTAATGCATTTGACTCAGCTCTCTTTTTCCTCAATCTGAGCAGCAATTCATTATTCCTCCATGTTTATATACACCCCTAGTCGAAATCTTAAGAGCAGATACAAAAGGGTTAAAAAAAAAATATACTTTAATCAAAATATATTTGCAAAACATTTACATTTAATTAGAAAATGTAGTTTATCAACAAACAAGTGAAAATTTTAAGCTTTTAATTTGTTAATTTAAACATACATTGAAAAAAGGCTTTTTTGGTTGGTTATAAAGATAAGACCATGTGTAAAAAAAACAAATTACTGGACAAAAATCTTAGAACTAGTCAGTGTGGTCATAGCTTCAGGTGTGTAGACATCTACATAGCTCATTTCCAGTATTAAATTTCAGATTTTAAAATGGCTAATGGTAAAATTTTAACAAAGTTCAAACAGGGCAGGATTGTCGAGCTTCAAAGATGTGGTCTTTTGCAATGAGCCATTGCAAATGAAATTGGCTGAAGCAGAACTCTTAAAAATCTGGATGTGTATGCTTCTAAAAAATCAAGTGGTCACCCAATAAAATCTCACCATCTTTAGACAGACGCATTAGGCGAGAAGTTAAGAGAGATTCAAGCCTAATATCAAATCGGTTAAAAGAGAATACATATGCTGAATGCAGCTCTCGAACAATTCAATGGCATTTAAATAAGAAAGGGTTTAAGAACTTGAAATGGCTGCAGAGGCCTTGCCTTCTTCTTCATAAAACCTCCCGTTTACAATTTGCTTCTGATTATCAAACTTGGGCTGTGGATAAATTGAAGAAAGTGTTGGTTTTAGATGAGAAAAATTCAATCTTGATGGCCCAGATGGTTTTCAGTGTTACTGGCATGCAAATGATGTCCCAAAGAAATTTTCTCAACATGACACAGAGGTGGATCAGTTATGGCCTGAGGTTCATTTTTTTTTTTTTTTTTATGGACCTCTTGAGTTACAGGAGGTAAAAAGGTCATCAAACAGCATGTTAAGAAAGGCATAACTACTGAAGGCCCTCATTTATGTGGGAAAACTGGATTTTCCAGTAGGATGATGCTGCAATCCACAATGCTCTTCAGACCAAAACCCAATTGAGAATGTTTGGGGATAGATGGCAAAAGTTGTTTATAAACATGGATTACAATTTGAAACTGTGGATGCTCTTCGTGCTGCAGTTTATGCATCCTGGACGAGCATCCCAAGCACCCTCATGCAGAACTTAATAATGAATATGCCAAAGCAACTTTTTGAAGTAATTCACAAATATGGAGGATATACTGAGAATTAAATTGTCGTTGTGACTTATTTGTTTTGTATTTGCTATTTTTATTTACATGGACTTATTTTTATGACCAACCCAAAAAATCCTTTTTTCAATATTTGTTTAAATTACTCAATTAAAAGCTTAAAATGTTCACTTGTTTGTTGAACTACATTTTCTAATTAAATGTAAATGTTTCGCAAATATATTTTGAGTAAAGTAACAGTATTTTATATTTCTTTTTAACCCTTTTGTATCTGGTCTTAAGATTTTGATCAGGGGTGTATATGATGAATCTGACATAGTTAAATCTCTTTGATAATGGCTTATGAAAGCCAAAAATATTCAGACATTGGACAAATTATATTTAAATATATGCCAGAAACCAGGAAAATGATTTAAAATATAAAAGAAACAAATAAAAAAAAAATCCTTTTGTTGGACTTTAATCATGTTTTCATGAATTAAAACTGCTGCCCAAATACAAAAACATATATATATATATATATATATATATATATATATATTTGTAAAAAAACCCAGTTTAACCATTGTAAATGGCATTAGCTTTAAATGACTTGAAATTGGTTCCAGCAAACCTAAGGAAAGTTGGAATTTAGCCAAACAGTTTTTGCATAAACAGATTAAACACACAAATCTTGACAATGACGTAAAAACTGATTAAAAAAGTTGCACTTTGTGAAAATTTACAAAATTTAAATCTGGCAGAAAATAATGAAATTGTAAAAAAAAAAAAAAAGTAACAATTGTATAGACAGCTCTTGCTGGTATTGTTTAAAAAATGTTGTTTAAAAGAATTCTTGC